CCTCGGAATGGCAGCGCAGCCTTCTGGTGTGTCAGCCACTCCTCCCACATCCCACTCCTCCCACATCCTCTTACTTGGTGACTGCTAATTTTTCATGATGGCCTATGAATATTAAGCTACAGAACCTGAGATCCCTCGTTTGCTGATCTTTCTCATAGCTGTTTTTTGACATTAATTAGACACCCACACCAGGAATAAGGTTTTGGGGAATCAGCCTGGATCACTAAAGCATTGTACTAGAATCTATTTTTCTCCTGTATATTTTTTTCAGAATGCTCCTATGATACCTGAACTCTACAGTAGCGGGGTCACTGAGAAGTGACGGGATTGCGTTGGTCCTTTAGCACACTTACGTTTTGGTCAAGGGACAGGGCTTTGACACAAGCTGTGGGTACAGGAACATAGAAAGCACAGTCTACCAGAACAGCTTTTTGAATCCTCATTAATTGTGTGTTTCACAATGTGGTTTATATTCTCCTCATTACTTCTTTCCAGAAACACCTTAAAGGTAACAATCTCATTTTTTTTCAGATTTAGAAACAATGCAAATCATTAATGCTCTACACAGACAGAGTCAAAACATCTTAAAAGAGGAAAAAAATCACATTTTGTTTGCAAACAATTAAACTTGGTAGGAAACATGGATTATCATACTGTGAGTTACGATAACTACTCTATATCAGCTACAGGGAATATGGTCATCATCACTAAGAGCTTAATAGATACTCTTACCGAGAATGGTATGTTTAAAGCCTAACAGTCATTTGCCTATTTTTGAAGAAAAACAACAAAAAAAACAATATAAGTCCTATTTTCAAGTAATTTTTCATTCACAAGGAGCATGCTGGGGAACTGCTTTTTGTTTGAAGCCTGCTTATATTAAATGTAATATGCGTACACTGGTAGTTCTCAATATATTTTTACTGCACTGAACAAACAATGGGAACTTGTAAATTCCCCTGCCCATAATAGAAAGACTATATAGCCTTTTAGATAAAGTACCTGTTTTTTTTTTTTTAACTGACCCTGCACAAACAATTGTATTTAATAGGTGAGCTTAGCAACACTGCAGGAGGACATGTTACAAGACGCTTTTTTACTCCTGAGACATTAATACTACACGCAGGAAATAATTATATATAGCAAACGTAGGAGTGTGCAAATTCGCCAAATGTTTATTATTTTTACTCCTGTACTCCTTTCTGTTTGCAACCATAAATCACTCCTCACCTAAGAAATTGAGTCTGAACCTCTCATTTTCCTTAACTAAACCACTACCTATGGCACAGGCAACAAAAGCCTCATAGCCCCCATGCAAACACCTATTATACGGGATTTCAAAATAGTCTTCCTGCCCATAACATTTGTAAATTAATCGGTTACTATGGAAACAAATATTATAGCTGTATAGGTGGAGCTTAAGGGTATTCATCAGTGCAATGTAAATATGAAGTAGTGTTATACCATGGATTTAAAAAGATAAGTGGATATGTAGGTAATTCATGGCTTACAGTACGTTCCACCAAAAAGTACATAGAAACAATAGCAAATTCTCCTGCTGTGATACTCTGCCTTGTTACATATCATCTTTCACTACTGCACACGCATGTAATAAAATGAGAATAACAAGAAATTAGATATAGATATCGTATTTATCAAGAGAGCACCTAAGTGACAGGAATTAATTTAGATGCGCACTCTTTGAGCCGAGGAGGAAGTGAATAATGACAAAAGTTATACCATACCATACCAGCTGAAGCACAGAAAGTTTTATTGTCCAAATGGAGAGAGGGCTGAAGATATTAACAGTTTTTATTTGCCATGAGAAACTACCGATCGATATTACGTTTATTTAATAGAGTAAGATTCTGATGGCCATCGAAAGTATGCATGATTGCGTACAGCAGTATAAAGGAATTAATGGAAAGACTTTGGCATTCCCCCATTAATCATCCACATATCAGCATGAATTTTGTTTGTGCTTCATTTTCGAAAGAAACTCGATAACTATTTTTTTCATTTAATTTTGAAACTTATTTCTGTTCTTAATTATCATATCTCTTCTCTGGAAAAATATAATGGCCTTAGTTTACCATACAATGAACATATCTCTGAAGGCAGAAAAAGATCAGTGAGAATACATTTTCAAAAACTCATCCTTTTCTACTCACTAGCTCCTAGAAACCATAATGAATCAAACCCATTCATGTTTTCTAAGGGTAAAATTCCACTGAACTGACATTTAGTTCAGCATCATAAATAACAGCATAAGATTTGAGGATCAGTATGTTACAAAACTCTCCATATCACTCAAAAGTCACGATTCCTAAATCAACATTTCTTAGCTTCAATTTCTAAGCCAAGTCATCCTTGAAATATCAGACATTAAAACAGCAGAGGAAACCTGAAGAATATCAATACAAAGCTGACAAGCATAATACCCAGCTCCACATTCAACTGATGCACAGAGAACTAAGGAAGCAGTTTTGTAGCATATTTTTAAAAAATAACTGTAAAAATGCAGTACAGTTCAAGCAGTGATTTAGTAGTGGGCTAAGCACAGGTAGCATTGTCATACATTTAAAAGAAAAAGAATATTAATCGAAAGACTATGGTTCTTACATGAACACACATTTTATGTGCATAAGAGCTGTATACAAGGCAAATAAATTTCTCCAAGAGTTCTAGGTACAAAAGTATTTCCATTAAGGAGGATATTCATGGGAATACTCCCAAGTAAACACTCGCAAGGGCGTATGTTGTGGAGAGGTAAAGGTCAGAGTTGATTCCTTAAAGGAATTCGCAGTTATTTAAAAATAATGTATTTATTTTAGAAAAGTAAAAACCCATATGGCAAAGGTCCAGAAAATGGACTCTGCAAATTTTTTTCGTAAATTAATGCAGGCAAACTGATTTGATACCTGTGGAACCTTATTGTCACAAAACAGCTATTGCAGATTAGGACTATCCTTCCTTCCTGCATGTCTCTATTCCTTCGAAGGACTCCTACACGGCTGTAGGACACTGCATATATATGTGCAATGCCACAAAAATCCAAAACTCTGACTCACGTTATCATTCACATAGAGAGCGTGCTTTGGTGACAACATATTGATAGCTGGCTGAGTTGTTAACTATAATAAATTTTTTTGGAGCAGAGAGGCCTGATGTTTTCATTAAGCTGGTTCTTACAAAACCATTACCGCAGCAGAGTTGTGACGGTGACAGTTTTTTCTGAATTATGGCACTCGAGCGCAGAAACACTGAGATTCAGAACAGCAGAAGAGCATCTGTTCTTGCAATAAATGATTTACTAGTAGACATAAGAATATATATAAACATACACACACATACATACAAACATACACATGTACCATACAGAAATGTAGACAAATACACTCACTGAATTATTTTTGCATGTGGCACACAGGCAATATTGCAAATCGGCTCACAAACCCCATCAGGAAATGCAATTGTAAGGAAACAAGCAAGAATAGATCAAACAAGTTTTATGCAAACAGTGTTTTTTGTTCATGAAAACCTTCTCTGTGCCTGACAGAAGTGAAGATTTTTAATTCCTATGCACCTCTGAACAGTTTCAGGACACATGCTCTAGCCTATTAACTAGCAAGTTATTCAACACTCAAAATATAATGTACCGTTTTCAGTTAATTGTACGTTTGTAAAAACTCCAAACACTTTGACTAAAATTCACTAGTAAATTGTCCACTGATATTTGTTTCCTTTGTCTCTCTCCCCCACTTCAGTCTAAATGATCCAGCTGTTTCCAGTAAGGTCTATATAAGGAAAAACCTTTTTTCCTGCAATGTTCTAGCTGGGAGTCTGTGATGATGTGTCAGAGCAGGCACTTGCAATTCAGTAGGGATGACCCTTATGTCAGGGGTATATCTTTTACCATTTCTGCGAAATACAACTCGACTGAGACAGAAATAAGATTCTGAGAGAAAAACACACAAAAAAACCCGAGTTTGTTCCTAGCACTGCTATACCTTTACAGCTTAATTTCCCAAAGCTAATGCAGGCTGAGCATGACTCTTCCTGTCAGCTGTAGCTCTGAACTCGTGAGGTTTATGTTGGGTCTAAATTGTAGACTGTGTTGCGTTATACCTCTATTATTGAGAAACTTAAGTGCCTATGAAGGCAGTACATCCTCTCCTCCTCTAATGCTGGTTCACACAGAGGGTAGCAACCACTCCATTAGCTCCCCAAATAGGGATAGAAGTCAACGTGATGCTACGAGGGAATTTCCAGGGGTTAGTTCTACATATTTAAAGTCTCAAAAATAAGACATGCAATAGAATGCAAAAATCAGAATGCAATTATTAGTAACATTTCTTACCACTTGTAGGGAGTCAGTGACATTAGTATTGCAGGAATTGCAACAGCAAGGTGAAAGCAAGGGTGAGAAGAGAACCAGGTTTGCTACACCTGCTGAAGTTCTTGTTGCATATTGCAGAAGTCCAGATTTACACATTACTTTCCGTCATCTTCATTTGCCGAATTTCTGTGATTTGATTTGAAAGAACTTTGAGCTACTCAGTTTCAGCAGGACTAAGTGGGAGCCGCTCTTTCAAAACATGACATGTAAATTATAGTGCATACTGTGAGAAGTTCTAAGTATCTTATATCAAGAAGCTAATATTCATGAATACCTTCCCCTCACTATTATGAATTACTGCTTGCAGAGCCTAGAAGTTGGAGTGATGCCCCAGAAAATGTCAGGAAGAAAAACTGATCAGGAAATTAATCATTTAGTTGCCACAATAAGATCTGAAGATCATTCTGTTAAGGGGATATGATGCTACCCACCTGCAGAACACTGAAGAAATGCAGAGATGTCCATTAAGCATCTTCAGCCCAACCTCAGATAATGTGAAGGTAAAACAATATGTAAACAAAGACTGTCAAAAAAAAAAAAATCTTAAATCTTAAATTTAAGTCTTAAATATTGACATTTCTAACCTTTAAAGTCCCCAATTTTGCTGTTTAATAGTGTTCTTTTACAATAAACGTGCGTGAGAAAATTTAGGCATTGGGGTGACTATTACTACAATACAAAGAGCACTTCCCTAATTCGGAAACAGTACCATTGAAATAAGTTAACTCTTTATTGTGAATAAAGGAAATTACCTCACAAACAGCACCTCAGAAAACGATATTATTCTCAGAAAAGCAAAGGTGCTATAATGCCACCAATGCGTTAACACAGCAGATTTACTGTGTTACTTGCGTTGCCATTCTGATTGAAACTTACATTTAGTCTTTAAAATGAACTACTTGAAATTAGATATGCATATCTGGGTGTCTACATACACGTTTGGACAACTACAAACCAAAGCGTGATTCCAGACGTAAAACAAACTAGTATACCTCCCTGATCCAAACAACAAAGGCTGTGCATATACAACTCCATCAAGCCATTCAGGCTCACACATCACACTAGTCAGTGCTCTTAGGACTATTGGTATAGGGAAGAGGTAAAAGGATCCATTAGCCTTTTTTAGTTTTGATACAATTTTTCTGAAAGCAGCCTGATTTAGTGATGGTCCTGGATAGAGACAACTATGACCAAAGCTGTAGATGCCGATTAGTTGCATATCTTAACCAGCCACCAGAAGACGACATAGCTTTGATGAGTTTATTATACAAAAAAAATCCATGAAATACCTACTCTTCCAAAGTCACAATGATATTAAATACTTTGATAACTAAGAAGACAATATGCTTTGTCAATTTAGGAAGACCTTGCATAAAGTAGTGGTCAGAAGATATCAAGCATCCCCACCTTTTCCATTTCATCATCTACGTTAGACGAAGGATTTCAGGAGTGTGAAAGAATTGCAGATGCAGATTAAACTCAAGCTCCAGTACACTGAAATTTGGCCTACAGAAAGGTACGAGTTCCACAAGATTATACTTGACTCAAGTGACACAGGCTATGCCCTGGGCTATGTGCATTGCTGGTCCCTCTAACCTTTACAAGCACCGAAGTGAATGGCAAAGTCTGTATGCCAGGGTAGCCAGCTCTTGCAATCCCCTAAGTGCTTTTATCTATCTTACATCCACACATAAAGGTAAAACCTACCAAATGTCATACATGTCTGAAATTATGGTTCCAGGTACTAGTGCTGGCAATTTGACAGAAAGTCTCAAATCTGAAATTTTGCTTAGTGAATACCAGCATGGTAATTTATGGAAGTCAGGGCTTGAAGAGTTCCCATCTTCCCTTCAGCATTGGTCTTCTTGGTCAGACGTTTTTTCCCAGGCCCCACCAAAGTCACCTCTCTTCTTGCTGAGCTGTGGAATAACATGAGAAGCCCAACTGAGAAAGGAAAATAAATTCATAAAGCACCAAAACACAAACCCCACCAGGCATTAAAAATTAGCAGGCTTTTGAATGCAAACCATACCATATTCAGTTGTTAGGCAAAACGTTTAAATTCTCCCATGGAAAAAGCAAATCTCTCCTCTTCCAAAGCAATTTAGAAAGTGCTAGCTAGTATCTCTCTAAGAGATAAAACCTCAACTTTTTTAAACTTCAACTCTGTTTCACTCTAAGCTCTTCTAAGGTTTGTGCCATTCAGACATCATGTCCAAGTCAGGTATGAAAAATCAGTTACAGGATCAGGATCTGATATGATATTTAAAATCCAGTTCCTCACTTTCACTTTGCACTCACCACACAATGTCTTTATTAAAATCAGAAATACCTAGTTGAAAAAAGACAGGGGAAGCTCTCGTTTTTCCTCAATCTTGGTCTTAGGTCCACATAAGGTTGTTTTTAATTATTATTTTATTTATTTTTTATTAAAGACAGGTCATTTGGGAAGACTGCAGAAGCAAATATGAAAACTTCTTTCTGTTAAAACTAGTACATCCTACATGGAATGACTTTAAGGTATAGAAAATGACACAGCATAAACTGCTTGTAAAAACAATACAACATGCTGATTTTGGCCACAAAAACAAAAGTCAGATTAATTAACCTCACAATTCTTACCAAGTTAGAACATGCTAGGAAACTGACTTTTTAAAAAATGAGTCCATAGAACTTTTCATGCATGTAAATATGCATTTTAAGAATGACATCCGGATAAAACCTACACTATTGGAGGCATCTATTTCATCTGTCTCCATGTTACTTTTTTTACTAAATACCTATTGGCTGCAAAATATTTTGTAATTAGATAGAAAATGAGAACTGTTAGTCTTTTTAGTATTTTCTAGCTTCTGCCTACACCTATAACAAATTTGGCACATAATGTTCACAGCTTTGTGTAAGACTCAAGTGCCTTGAATTCACACTGATGGAGGATATGATTGTGTACAGATGCTTATTTTCATTTTTCAGCTGATTTCTCCTTTCTCTCTCCAGACTTATTT